TTTTCTTCAAAGTCTTTTGTGTCAGAAGAAATGTCGAAATTTGCGAAAGGTGTTGATTGAATTGATCGTAACGATTTCATGCTTAATTCAGGATCACTGTTGATATGACGCTTCTGGAGAATAAAAGTTCTGTCGAGGACGAGAAAGGAGCAGGAAAAGTTGAGGTATTAGATGAAGAAGAAGTAGATGCAGACGAAAGGAGTGAAACGCCAGATGAGAAGAAAGTGTTGCCGGTGGCGATATTGCGATTGATAAATGACGATATCAACTATTCAAGTGAAGCAGCGAACAAAGTCGGTATTGCGCCGTTGCTGCTTGCATGGGATGCGCTAGTGGAGACAATGGCTCGTTTCAAAGTGAGCGATCGAAAGGAATATTGCGATAGCAGCAATATGTTGTGCATTATTGAGATTGTCGTTGCGAAAATATTCGACATTTTACCAGACAGCATACCGAGTGAGTTGATTTGTTTTGGTTTGTGAAAACGATAACCTGTTGCAAAAGATCACAGTGGGTTCTGAATGAAATGTTTTCAGATATCGATGAAATCCTCCTTGATCATTCATTATTTCGTATGGAGCAAAGTTCTCATTTGGAGTGTAAGTTTGTTGATTTTGTTTTCATTTGATTGTAAGATTTAATAATTTACGTGGTTCATTTGACAAATATTATTCTGGGATTAATTATGTAGTTAAGGTTATACCAGATAGTATGTTTTTGTGCATTAGGTTTAGATTGACTGGATTTAAAGATTACGTCAACGGACGTTTCTATTTTCAGTTTCACTAGTTTCACAATATGCTATTGGATTGTTCTATCGAACATTGACTACTTTACCGGCTCTTGTACGACAGTTGTACACATCACTGCCAAGGTCATTCTCATCTGTATTGGCCAAGTAAGCTTCTTGTGACTTTTCTAGAAATTATTCCTTGATTTTGTGATATTTCTTTCGATTGATTCCATTTTCGTTCTTTTATGATTCTGTACTCCTAAGCGCAACTACTGATTCTTTCTCGTATTTCAGTTATACATCCAGATATCTGTCACCAATCATTTGGCGAAGCGAACGTCTTTTAATATCTCAACAAAAATTGCCACCGAGTCTTCAGGTAATCCATATCAGTTGTCGGTTTATTTATTTACATTTTTTAGCATTTCTTAGTTATGTGAGCAGAACTGTATTTCACGTTTGAGCATTCATTTTGACTTGTTATGAAATTTGATCGAAACGTAGCAGCATATTTTTTGGAATTACTTTGGTGGTATAGTGCGTTTGTTATTGGTGTGGAGTGTTATTGCCGATAATTGTTATGAGTGTTACTCTTTATTGTTTGAGGTGCGTGTACGTTCAAGAGCATGGGAGATATCTGCCGAATATGATATGGTGGATGCAAAAATGGCACTTTTGATCAGTATACCTCAGGACTATCCACTATCGATGCCATCGTTCGAGTATGAGAATGCGATTTCAAATCGGGAGTTGAAGAACAAATGGCTGCTGCAATTGATGTTGTATTTCTCGAGTCATGTGAGATTATTCGTCGTTCATTTGTTCGTGCGCATTCATTTCTATTGATTTAAATTAAGCGATTGCATGAAAGTGACACAAAGACACAGTATTTTCATAGAACCATAGTTGCATCTTCTTCGTAATAAGATTTTGTTTATCGGTACTGTGCATGTGTGTGTGTGTGTGTCATTATTCTCATGAGTAGAGAGACAGTGTTGTGTACTTCTCACAAGGAAGTGGAATAATGACGGTGAAATGACTGATGAATTATAATTGGATGAAACATGGTCTTTAGAATGGCTCAATAATGGATGGTGTGTTGATGTGGGCTGGATTGGTTGCACGTCATCTTGATGGTGTAGAAGACTGCATGATTTGTATGATGACCGTTCATGCGAAGTCGTTGAAACTGCCTCGTTTGAAGTGTGGACAATGTAAAAAACGATTCCATGTGGATTGTTTGGTCAGTTTCTTGTTTATTACGGCGGACTGCAGTTTGTGTACTATTTCGTAGTGAGTAGTGGTGAATGCTGTAATGATTGGGTTTGAAACATCAACGCGAAGGTATTCAGTCAAATGGAGAGTATGTAATTTGTAATATGATAACGGCAGAGTTTTGATAATTGTTTCAATTGCAAGCGCGATACTTTGTCCTGAAACAGGTGACTGTCAATAACATTGAACTGAATGAGTTCCTTGAATCGTACTGACGTTGAATGCGCAATGTAATTTGTGTTTAAACTCGGCTCGTTTAAGCTCGTTCCGTTTGTATTTTCTTCATTGGATTCACTAATTAGTTGATGTTTTCAGCGAAAATGGTTCGAAACAAGCAGGCAATCGCTGTGTCCGTTGTGCAGATACAATTTCAGATCGTACATTAAAGCATTCGCAAAATCCGCCCCGACTGAACAGTGAACAATCCTCAGCATCAGTTCTTCTGTTTCTTTCTATGTATCTGACAATGAAAAGCGATTTTTTAAAAATTGATCAATGCATCGATTGGAATTCGTCGTTTTTATGTTGCTTGTCAACATTTTTTGAGGGTCCTAATGATTTTGTTGGTATTTTAAGTATTCCGCCATTGAGATGCATATTGTTAATCTATTAGTAATGTTGTTTTTTGTAGTTTATTGTGATTATTTTTGAAGAAAATTATAGTTTTGCATCCGAAGAAAAAATTGTTTTATTGTGATTGTTGTTATTTGTACTTGTTGAGGAAAATCATTTTTTGGGACGTTTATGTAATTACTTGTGATTTGGAAAATTCTTTTTTACATCTTGTTTCTCTGTTCTCGTTTTGAAATGCTAGGGAACAATCATGTCATTTTATAGTCTTATTCGGTTTGAGAGACTTCGAATATCCGAGTGCAATTTGGATGAACCGAAACGGTGCTCGATTGAGATGAAAATTGAAATTCTCCTAAGAAACTCAGTCGTAGATGGGGAAGTTTGGATTTAGATTGAGGCAAGATCAAGAATAAATCAAAAAAATATGAATTGCCATTTTGCAGTCGAGCCCAGAGCTGGCCATCTATACAGATTGTTGTTCAGTTACGTTACGCAAGTGGCCTTTGTTTGGTGAAGATGTCACTTTATAGTTGTTATGACTGCGATCGCTTATTGCAGTCAGTTCGTGGTACGTAAGAATTGTGATGACCGCAGTGAATAAATTTTCGAAAAAAATCTGCAGTAATTTTTTATGCATCTCATCCACTAACAAAGTTGTATTTACAAAATCCAGAATATCTTTATCCACTTGTTCTGGTATTCGACATCACATGCTCACTGTTGGGGAGTTTCTATGAAATCAATTCATGTTACTTCTGATGTCTCTTCGTACATATTTAAATAAGTTGATGGCTGAAAATGATTTTATATCGTAGTTGAATATTTCTAATATGATTTTATGATTGTTACTTCTAATGTTTATCGCAGATTTACGTATCATTTCATATCAGGTGCATTCCTACGCACTTATGATATATTCCTTTGCTTTACATTCGTATTTCGTAGAGTCGAAACATAGCAACCTGGTTAACATTGTTTTGATAAATTTATTTCAGCACTGCTATCGATATAAGTGCAGGAGTGGTCATATACAATGATTGATCTAACTCGAACTGAATCCTTCTCTGCGTCGCATCGTTTGAACAGTATCCAGCTATCAGACGAACAAAATCAGCAGCTATACGGAAAGTGTAATAATTTGAATGGACATGGACATAATTATTCATGGGAAGTTACGTTGCGTGGGCAAATCGATCCCATTAATGGAATGGTGGGTGTTGTTTATTCAAGTTAATTCTGTATCGTTTTTCATTGTTATATTATGGATGAGTCTATTCGTTTGCTCATTTGCAGGTTTATAATCTAAGCGATTTGAAAAAGGAGATGGCCGATGTGTTAGAATTAGTGGATCATAAAAATCTTGATCTCGATGTCGAGTATTTCAAAAGCACCCAAACGGTGAGCACAACTGAAAATTTGACTGTGTTCTTATGGAACGAACTGAGGAAACGTATGAAGAATCCGAAGCTGTTGTATCGATGTACTGTCCATGAAACGTCAAAGAATCGATTCTCTTATTATGGTTCTTGACGGCTGGAGGATTATCTGATTGAAAAGGTTATTGGATATTTTGAGTTTTCATTGGTACTGATGTCTTATAGGTCACATTTTGGACTGACATTTTCATCACATTTTTGCTTATTTTTCACCTAATCTCCTCATTCAGCTAAAGAAATTTGAAGCTGCTGTTAATAGATGACTGAGTGGTCCAGTTACGTTCAGAATCGCTAAGGTGTGTATGGCAGTTCACAGATCCGCTTCAATTTTTTGTTAAATGATTTCGGGTGCACCTATAGATGGTAAATCAGCATTTGACAGTTGATCATTTCAGGTGATATGGTTCACTCACTGCTTTTAATGATTCGCTGAGATGAAAATTTGAAACAAACGAATTGTGGAGTGGGCGAATACCGTATTGAAGAGGAATGGTATTGAAACTTTGTTGAATTCTATACAATAGAGAAGAACGGAATATGATGTTAACTTTTTATGAATTTCTTACAGCTTTTTAATCTTTCTTGATATTGTATTGACTTTTTTAAAGTCATCTAATGAAATATGATTTTAAGCATATCGAATGTTCATTGTTATTTTTCAATGCATTATGTTATTGTATAAGCGGTAAAAATTCGGTACGTGGAGATCCTGAATGCCATTTAATGAGCGATGCTATTTTTGTTCAGTTTCGTCTCGTTTCTTGTCTCTTGCCTTATTGTTTGCAGTGTCTAGTAATTATCATTT